AATCTATTAAAAGGAATCCATTCAATTACTTCTTCATATTCTGTAGTTTTAAGTTGATATTCCTTAATGCAATTGTCGATATCTTTATTTCCACTTGCCCACCCTTGTACTATTTTATGAGGGTCACATGATTGACACCAAGCTTTAGATGTGTTATATCGCTTGCAATTTGCACATTTTCCATAAATTTCATTTCTTTTAGAATTAAATTCATCGATCATAATTCTGAGGTATTACAGCAAAATTAAATCGTCATTTTGCGTTGTATGTATCATATATGCATATATAATAAAATATGTAGCACAAATATTTACATAATTCACTGTTGCAATATCATCTCGATATACTTTATCCTTTAAATAAACCTGATCTCATTTTATAAAATCGTATTCTTTTATGAATATGCATCCAATGATTTCGACACAAAATTGAAGAGGTGTTTATTAATAATAGAATATTACATGTGCTAGTAGTATAAAATAATCAATGAAGTTATATGATTAATTGTTATAAATCTCAACTGTCTATGGAATCAATAGTGTCACTGGAACTTAAGTTCCAATGACTCTATTGATTTTACTTTCAGTAACTCTCCAGTGGTCTTCCAGTGACAATACTGCTTAGTATTAATATGTATCCGATTCATATTAGAATCTGATTTTTATAGGTCATTTTAAACCAGCAAATCTAAATTTGGACGATCAATTGGAATTTGGTTATAGTTTTTAGGCGAAACCATTTCGCGCAAGTGGCGAAAGCCGAAACCTAAACACAGCGAAAGAAATCCCCTGGCGAAACCCCGACTCTCAGTGAGCCGTGTTGATGAATAAAAATATTCTACAAGTGGCTATTAAGCTCCGCATGTGGCTTATTAAAAGGAAACTACGGATGGTTCAATATATAATTTGGTTAATAATCAATAACGATCATAGTTTTTTTTAATCAAGCGATAAAGCTGTACAATTTTTTTTTTCTTTACGAACTTCAACAAACAATTACCTGTCGCATTGGCTAATCTTGAAGTAGATTATTGTGATTATACGAAAACTGAAATACTGTATGAACAAATGGTAAAGCTATTGAATTAAAAGAAATATTAGCGTTAGCAAAGGTGCTATCTATTGATTTTATTCCTACATAAATTATTATTAAATATATAATTCATATTTTTTTATATTTTTTACATATGCGTATTTTCTTGCAAAAATATCATGACAAAAAAATTCACATGATAATATAAAATGTTGGATAATGTATTTAAATTCAAAAAGGGAACGTTAAAGAAATTACCACTTCAAACGGCTTTAATATGAGAATGTCTCTGATTAAACCTAAAATCTGGATATATCGAACAGTTTCTTTGTTTTTGGAAAGTGTCGATATAACCATAAAAGTCTAATTTATATCCAAAGCCTTTTTTATATTTATTGCCAAGGTTCATTAATCAATAACGATAAGAACAGTCTTATAAATTTTAGTGCAAACATCTTGGTCAAGCATTCAAACAAAATTTAATATATTGAGTGTGTCGACATTCTAACAATCTATAGAATATGTGATACAAAAATAGCTTCTATCGCTATGTATTGATTAGTGATGTAGTAGAATCGTCCCAATGGTTGTCGTAACTTGCCGTGACGATTCTACTGTATCACCACTATCGCAGATTATAATTTCGCAAGCAATACTAACTGATTACGTCTATAGCAAAATTGTTAGACATTTTTACTTAATGCTATTGACTTCGTTAGTAAAATTTCTAAGTGGTCTTAAAAAAATTAATCTGACCGCGAATCTTCCTGTGAGTTGTATCTTCTAGAATCATGTGAAAAGGTTGTAAGGTCATCTGACTGATCCCTCACTTATTGGTAAGGCTGGATTTGCTCGACAATTGGCACAGAATTTTGTAACACTTGCAAAGATAGGAAATCCGTAATAATTCTTATAAAGTATAAATTGATCCTCAATCTCAATTTCATAGACCACATCTGGAATATGAATTCTCAACTGCCGACCATCTTAAATGCAACTTATTTAACCTCAGGACTAAGTCGTGGATTTTTCGAATTTGTGACCAAAGTTGGCGAAGCTAGAAGCAAGCAGGTAAAAATATAAACATTCATATATAAAAGTCAAAAAAAAAAAGAAAATTTGGATGTAATCTGTTGAATGTATAATTATAAATTGAATTCAATTACTAAAAAAAAAAAACATTTTTTAATGATTAAAGGAGGAAGACCGATATGTATCTCAAGAAATTGATTCTCTCAAAACCAAATTAAATCAACCCGATATTTCTTCTGTAAATTTTCTTAATTTATTTAAATTTCATACCTCTACTGAATATTTCATAACTTTATTTCTTTTTATATAAATTGAATAATTGTAAATATATGTATTACCGAAAATAAAGAAAAAAATTAGAGATTACATAACCAGATTGATTTACTGTGACATGTTGGGATATAATGTCGAATTTGGTCATATTCATGCCGTCAAATTGGCACAATCTGCTAAAGGATTGTGGGATAAACGAATTGGCAAGTTCTTTTTGCAAACAAAGTTACAATAATAATGTAAACAATAAACTTGCCTAGATATCACATCGAATTAATATTGAATGTATAATTATATAGGCTATTTGGCTTGTTCTTTATTTTTATATGAGACGCATGAACTTAGTATCATGTTAATTAATACATTACAAAAGGTATTTTAAAAACATGATTTTATGTTTGATTTTATAACTATTGTTAATCATAATGTATCTTTTTCACAGGATCTTAAGAGCAACAATTATCTTGAAGTGTGCTCTGCATTAACCGCTTTATGTCATTTACTAAATAAAGATATGATACCGGCTGTATTTGGACTTTTAGAGGAAGCTTTAACGCATCCAAAGTAAAAAAAAAAATTTAATTACATTTAGTTCACATTATACTCAAATCATATTAACAGTAAAACTGGATTTGCTTTTTTATAAGAGATATTGTTCGTAAGAAAGCTGTAATGGTATTTCACAGATTATTTCTTGATGCTCCAGACACGATGATGCATCTTGACGAAAAATTTCGTCAGATGTTGACAGAACGTGAACCAAGTGTATTAGGTTCCATATTATGTCTTTTTCTTGAATTTGTGAAGGTATTATTGTCGTCAAACTCTTTACTGGTTATTGTATATCTATTGATTATTTTTATATACTTTTTATTTAGGCTGACCCTAATAAATTCAAAGATTTGGTTCCTTCGTTAATTAGCATTTTGGAACAAGTTCTTGATAGGTGGCTGCCACGGGGCTATGATTATCATGGTGTTCCAGCACCATGGATCCAAATAAAAATAATCGAGATCATGGGATTACTAGCGCAAGATGACGAAAAGTAAGTTATTATGTATTGCTATTCTTCAGAATTATACATTTCTTATTAGATATTTTTGTCTAGGATAAGTTCAGAAATTGGTCCCCTTATTGTTCATACTCTTAGAAAAGCAGAAAATGGTGTAGATGCTGCTTATGGTTTGTTTCTTCTTCTTCTTCTTCGGACGTTATCTTAAATATTAATTGTCATTAACTTTAATATGTGTGAATAGCGATAATATTCGAATGTATTAGACAAATATCACGATTACATCCACAAACATTATCTACTCTCATTCATAAATCCCCAAACCTTAACCCATTAAATGTAATAACTCGATTTTTAAAATCCAATAATCATAATCTCAAATATTTGGGATTGACCTGCTTGTCTGAGATCGATCCTGTGTGGTGGATTGAAGGAGAATGGTGGGGTGAAGAACAAATGAGCATAATTGTGGATTGTTTAGAAGAGAGAGATGATACTTTGAAGAGAAAAGTTAGTTTTGATCATTTTTTTAAAATCTAAGTATTATGATTAATCTTCTTAACATACATTCACATTCCCAGACATTAGATTTGCTTTACGCAATGGTTAATTCACAGAACGTTGTGGTGGTTATGGAACATATGATCAATGCTTTACGTACTATTTCAACAACTGATGAATTTTCACGCATACTTTTGGTGAATAGAATTGTCGAAATATCTGGAAAATATCCTCTTAATTTGCAAATCAAAATAGTATAATGTATTTTTTTTAAATTTGGATTTTCTGTTGTTCTTGACCAAATTTATCATCAATATTGCTCAACACGTTCCTTCCAAGTCCTGAATGGTTGATAAAAACGATCATCACAACATTTGAAATTGCTAGTGATTTATTGGATGATAAAACTGTAAACTCTATATTTCTAATTATTTCAAAAAGTTTGTGAAAAATAAATATAATCATATGTTCGTTTGCATTCATTAAGTTTCGATTATTCAAATAATTTTGTTTTCATAGGTGCTGAAAGCAAGGAAAAGGGTGAAGAAATTCGCCAATGTGCAGTATCAGAAGCGATAAGAATTTTAGAAACTGATATTAGCAATACGACCAAGAACCTAATTTCATGGTCTTTTCGAGTTGAATATTTTACCTTATTAGATTATTCTATATTCCGTCTAAATGTATTATTGACTTTGTTTTTTTTTTTAGGTATTAGGAGAATTTGCAGAGTATACTGAACTTCAAGAAAATGTATATAATAGATTATGTGATTTATTAGCACAAGGTAAAAATAATGAATTGTTAAAGTCTGAAAGTTGGAACAAAAATCAATTAATCACAATCATAATTAATTTTCTTTAGTTGATTATGAACTTCAAGCTCAAATAATTACTACGCTGTTAAAATTCGTCTCAAAGATGAAACATTGCCCCGATAATATAATAGAATGTGTGGAAAAATGTTGTCAATCATCATCTGGAGATGTAAAACAAGCAAGTAACATATGTTTTTTTTATTTTACATTATTATGACTATATATAACATTGAAATGAATTGGACATTTTAGAGAAGTCGTGAGTTTATAATTTTATCAAAGGACTTTATACTTTTGGATAAAATTGTAACACCTTGCGAAAAATTTGATGACTTTACAGTGCGTATACTTTAATTAATCCTATCTTTACAATCTTGGTAAAAGCATCGGTAAAATTTTCATTTTTGTTTGCTAAAGATTGATGAATCATTATCCTTTCTTGATGATTTCGTCGAAGATGCATTGAAAAATGGTGCAAAACCATATAATCGAATACCAATTTCTCGTGAAGACACAATTGCAGGTAAGAATAACATTACAACGGATTTGTAAAATATCCTAAAATATGAAAATTTTGACGAGTCATCTGATCAATAGGATATTTGACTTCATGTGTTAACTTATATATTAATATTCTGATCAAACAATGATATACATATTAGAAAAACGTAACAAGGTTAAAAATCATTTTTAATAAGAACGATAAATTTAAATGAGTTAAAAATGGGTCGCGATAGTGAAAAAATTAGTTAGACGCATTGTTATTATAGATCGGTGCGCCAATAATTTTTTGGGAGGGTTCAATATTGACAAATGCGCCACAATTAAGTTAACAATATGCATTTAATACAATTAACCTTTTCTTATTATTACATTTTGTTATCAATTATCAATAGCGACTGAAATTCGTTATGAAGCTTATGAAAAACCTAACTTACCGTCTTTCCCTAAACACATGACCAGTTTGACAACCTACACTGATACTATGTTATCGGCAACTGATAGAAATATGTCATTGTTTGATGATCGAAGTAATCAGTATAGTCGAGGTGTAGGCCTTCCAGTTACTCCCGGTCAGCTAGCTTGGTTTGGAATTACACAAGAAAATTTATCAACAGAGAATGTGTATGAGCACACAAGTTTTCTGGCAACTCCACAAGAACCTAATTATAGTGATTATGAGGAAGTCGATTCAAAGTATTTACATCACTAATTATTCTTATAATCAGTGTTGGTTTGACCAGTCCAGTCCAAGGATTATATTGTCAAATGACAGATTTAAATATAGTTTATAATATAATATATATAATATATATATTTATATAATAAACTTGACCCGGTTGACCAATTTGACCAACAAATTTTTTGGTTGACCACTAATTTTAACAACACTGCTTATAATATAGGCTAGATATCGAAAAAGGGGACCAAATCAACAATTTTTTTAAATAAAATTTTGCATTATAGTATTTTATTATAAAAATTAATTTCCCTCCAAACCATTTGGTCCCTTTTCTCAGCATCTAGTCCATATATCACATCATATTACTGACATAATGATTAAATTCATTCAGACGCCAGTCGATGGCATCATCATTACCAAAAATGAAGATACAGTCAAGTACACAAAGTTGGAGTCGTTCTGGATATAAACCAATTCATAACACAGAAAGGTATGACTAGCTTGTCTTATCCGTAAAGTGCAGACTGATGTATCCGGATATTTACAAAGATTGATGATATACCCAGGATATATTTTTCATCTTCAAACTTTTATTATCCTGGCTATTTTTCAAAACACAATGTTACTATTTTTTGAATTATAATATGTATACTATTCGGATATAATCAAGTCGGCACGTTATGGTAATTCAATTATATAGTAGATTTTCAGTATATCACATTCATAAAATCATTTGAATCTCTTTTTTTTACAAACCACAGTGATAAGTATGTTATTTATTTTTAATTTTTTTTTTAAAAAAATCCACTATTTGTAATCAAAATACTGCTTTGCTAGAAGGTTAATAAAATATAACATAAGCAATGTCCATTCATCCTTGCGACCTTCAGATAGGGTAGTTATTTTTCAATATTTCTCAATAATCAACTGACACTATTTCTTAGTCCAACATTACTTTCACGTATTATTATCATATTTATATTTAGGTACTATCTACCACATCGGCAACTCCAAAAGCAACAATGACACCAGAGAAAGAGAGACTAGCTTCTGCTTTGTTTAGTGGTGTGGGGACTTCGTCTGTAATTAGTGACTCAACGCCTGCGCAGGCTGGACTAATAACAAGAAGTTCGTCAGAATCTCAACGTGGAACTACGGTAATTATTGTCAAAATTTTTTGAAATATATATTTTTTTTAGATTGGGCTAAAATTTAGAGTTATAGTTGCTATGAATAGATAATAGTGACCAAATTGCAGCATTGTCCGCGACACAATTATTATATTTTTTACACTATTAAAACATACATGATTTTTTTTTGAAAATCACGTAATGTATAACCATATACCTTCTGTTCATATAATATAGGGCAATGTCGTACGTTTTTGATGTCTCAAGCCTTCAAAGTTTTTTGACATGTTCCGTCCAATTTCCTTCCGGAGGTCCAAACTTTTATAATTAATAATTTACATATATTTTATTATTTCTAAATAATTAAAATAGATTATCTTAATAAATTTTGATTGACTTTTTTTTTGGTCAAAATGTCCAATTACAACACCGATGTAGGGTGTGACACAACCCAATAATAACTATGGGTTCTCAGAGTGGTAATTAACTGATCTATTACAAAATTAAGACGTGATGCAAAAGGCTCTGTTATAGAATTAAATGATATCTTTTTGAATTATTTCAGAAAATATTTATATTAGTTGTCTCTGAACTAATTTTTTTTTGTTTGATAATTATACTTGTGCAATGAAAAGATTAGTCGCACAGGTTGACTAAAATTTCTGGACGAAATACATCAAAGTAACAAATTTTGCTCGAGATCATTCAAAATTTTACTAATGAAATCACATTAAGTAAAAATACCCATATGATAATTTTGCTATAGAAAAGTTGATTGACATTCAAAGTTGTTGGTGATAAGTTACATAAAATTTAATGATGATTTACCAGATTGCTATTAATTCCTGTTATGTAGCATTAATGTTAAAACAAAGCATGCCTATTTGTACTAACCCAAGCTTTTACATATTTCTTATTGTTTTGATTCTTACATTACGATATTTGATTGATCAATTGATTGTTACCACTAGTGATAAGATAATTTTTCTTTAAAATGCCAAAAAAACCTACACTTTTTTCAATTACACCGAATTTGGTTGGATTACAGTTTCATTCGATCTAATGAATTTTGATTGCATAATTAATCTATTCTTTTGCAGTATAAGACTATTGACCTTCTGTATATAATCTACCCAAATAGCAGGGATACAGAAATTGTGATTTTGCTTTACTATGATTCTTGACATCAAATCATAATTGCAAAATTACATATATAAGAGTTGACGTAAAAATGATGGCACTCTCGAATTTAAATCACATAAATACCGTGTCCATGTCAAATAACACCGTGTTCTTCACGTGGACACTACTCAATCTTAAAATGCTTTATAACGAACAAAATTTTTAGAAGCAATCTCCAAAATAACCATTTCAGTATAGAGATGACTATCGCTATATACTACACATTTTTATAAAAACTAAATTTGGTCTAGTAATGAATTCTGATTGACTTATCATTATACACCATTCAAGTGATTATTATCGTTACACACAGAGGACGTAAGAATACAACGCTTATATCGATATCTATACTACTCAAATTCTAACGTTTGTCGTTTATAATTAATCTGGTTGGTCAGATTTTGTTCTCGTGATGAATTGTGTTACTTACCATTTGTGCAACTATAAAATAAGACCAAAAAGGATTATACTTACTTATGATCATTTTGGAACAGCCTTTAACTATGTGCCAGATTTGTAAAGATTTCTTGAACTAGCAAATTTGGTTTTACTCTAATGATATTTTTTTTTCTTATCAGATTTTTACTAACCATTTTGTTAATGTTTAACCTTTAAAAATTTTTGTTTAAGAATTGTATTGAATTGAATCAAGGCATAAGCCGAAATCAGAATCTTATCGATGCATTCTGAGATAATATTTTATATGTTCCAAAATTTGTGAAATGATCAGAAGATCATGTTCAATATAAAATTTAAATTTATACATATCTAAAAAATATATATAAGCTTGATTATGACTTATATTATTAATAAGCATGAATCAGAATTGGATATTTATTTTTAACAATTATTGCTAGAATCTATTAAATAATATACATATTTGTTTTGCTTTTAGACACGGATATATAGACGTAACAGTTAACTAGTATATCTAGTAAAGTTCTTGCATTCATGTCCTTTTGTGGCGCTCCGCGAAATACGGTATTAGATGATAAATGGGGAATGGATTAGGAAACCCACCGTTTTGCACTTACTTTCAAACAGTGATTTTCCTAATCCATTCCCTAAATGTCAATACCTAACAACTTTAACATCTCAAAAAATTTAACTGATAAGGTAAAGGTGGTATTGTAACGAAGGAGGGTATTGTGGTAACTCTATGTCTATAAGATGGTTTTATACCACTCGATTCGTCTAATAAGGGCGAATCGAATGATATAAAAATCATTCAGTTTATATTAATAATTGCGAGTTATATTAAGTTCGCCATAAATTCGCCGCAATACTCCAAGCTTTGTACAATGTTCGAATGCTAATATCTCGTGATTCTGTAATCAGGCTCGAGAGATTTTTGTACCATACGATTTATCTTGATGAATACCATAAAATTCGTTCAATTTGGGGCAATATATTACATGTTATTCTAGATTATCTATTAACTCCGCCACGATACCACTTTACCTTAATAATGAAGAAATTGGGGGTTTTTTTTAAATTGTTTTACAGTAATAAAACGTCAAAAATATCTATTGTAGCTAGGGAGTATGCTACTCCATTACCATTTTTTTTTTGTCGGTTTACTAAAAAAAACAAACCGGATCAGCCGATTAACTAATCAAAATCCAGAATTTGCGCACACACAGACGTCAGGGTTAGTTAAAAAATCAACTAGTCAACTCATCGATTTCAACTAGTTCAATTCCGGCTGATTCGTTTATTTCTTTAGTTTGATTGGCTAATCAACAAATCAGTCACATGATATAAAAATCGATTGGTTGCAACTACTAATAAAAGAGTTGGATCCCCATAACGATATAAATAAAATAATTTTTTCAATTGTGTAATCAGTGATATGATTTGTATTACAGAATCCACCAGAAATGATATGTAAATAGTTTTACCGAAAGAGCTATCCATATGTTGCGTTTAGTTTTCTCCCTATTTGTGTTATCTATAATTAATTATAAATTTACCATTTACAGTATAACTTCGATATAGCGAGCTCCAGAGCTGGGTATTTGGTTCGATATATCAAGGTTTCGATCCATTGAGGTACCTTAATATAACGAATATAATAAGGTATCTCAATGAAAAATCTTGATATATCGAACTAATCATTCCAGTTCTGAAATGCACTGTTTATATGTTACACAAAAATCACTATACTATTAAATATTTCGTTATACGTATCAAGGTAATTTTATTATAAATAAAAACATTATTCTTCATTATACAGTATAACAAGGCTTTATAATTATGTTAAAGTATTTTTGTGTAATCAAGGTTTTAGCTAAAAAAATCTTCGTTATGATTACAAATTTGGTTTATCGAGGTTCGTTATGTAGTTATAATCAGGAGTACTAAATAATTGATTATGAAGGCAATTAATTGCAATTATATTTTCAATATTAAAACTTACGCGTAATATCTTATTCAGTTAGCATTTATAACGAATATGTTCCTATTAAATGAAAAAAATTTTATTAGTAAAACGTTATGTTCTCAAAAAGTACTTCCAAGAATTGATTTACATCAGCCAATTATAAATTATACTAATTTTCTATGAACTGGGTAATGTGCATGCCACGAATAACACGTGCTTTGTATTTATGTATTTATGTATCTGATTGGTTATCGTGTTTATTCACGAGGTTACGCGATAAATAAAATTTCTTTTCGCGACATGATTTTTAATTATTTAAACAGATTTTAATTCATTTTCTTTAATCAGTTTACACTTTTTTTTTCTCTCGTATTTTTTTTTCTTATATTTTCTCTTTTTTTTTATTCATATTTTTTCGTTTAGCTTTACTCATTTACATGCGTTTTTATTTATGATGACCATTCTTTTTAAAGTATTTTTATCTGAGACAACAAACAATTATCATACCTACCTTTTTGAAACTGCTAAAGTGCGCGGCACTTAAAGACTATATTTGTCCCATTTTGAGATCGTCAATAGTTACTATATAGTAAAGTCAAAATCCTACTATGTAAATGATATTTTAGTGCATTAAGTAAAGTTGTTCAGATCAAAATACCCCTAGTTTGAAGTTTTACTTAAATAATTTTTTATTAATACATTTTTACATTCTATAATTATGCGGAAAAAATTAGGTTACCTTCGGCAAAGTTATTTCGGAGTTACGTTAGTCTGTGTTTATATGATTTGACCAAACTTATAATGTAATTTTGGTAGAATACGTGTTTCTGAGAACTTTGCCAGAGGTGTTATTTATAATAAATTTAACCTGCAAAGTTATAATATACAAAAATGTATTAATAAAAAGTTATTTTTTAAAATTAAATGTATATTGATCTTTTAAACAGCTTTATTTAATATATGAATATTTGATTTACATAAATAGTGAAATTTGATTTTACTATGTGATAATTGTTGATAATTTTTTTAATTTAAAAGTAAATTATTTTATTTGTATAGTCAGACCTTGATATAATTACAAGGTTAAAAAACCAAAATTTGGTAATTATAATAAGTTGTAACTTTATAATGTTAAAAATTTATGTGTTAAAAATTAAATAGTATAACTAAAACAAGGTTATAACTATATTAAAAGTAATTATAATAAGTTTTGACTATATATACCACAGAGTAAATTACAAAACCCACTTTCAAACTTGTTTACTGTTCAATTTTATAGTGAAACTTTTGTATAATTGGCTATTAATTTAATTAAATTTTATATTATTTATACAATTTAAAGTACTTTTGCAAAAACAAATATATAATAAGATAAAAACATATATAAGATGTTTATTAAAGTTGTAGAACTTTATTGTTAAAATGTATCATTAACTTTTATTTTATTAAAAAGGCTGGTATAGTAGTAACTTTTCAAAAACAAATAAAATAAAGCTATTACTATGCTGACTTTTTTTAAAAAAATAAAAAATGTTTTTTTTAACAATAGATCCAACAACTCTAAAAAAACATCACATATATATATATCTTTAATTTTGTGTTGTTTTGTAAAAGTATTTTAAACCGTATTAAACCGTATAAATATAAATTCAGGTAATATATTTGTACTGTAGCCACATCCCATAAAAGCCAATCAATTTTAAAGATCAGGTATAACGTAACACGATCAGGAAAATTCGTTCGTTTTATCAATAACTCAAAATTGAGTATATGAAACTACTCTTTGGGTTCTAACAAAAAAAACTTCCTTGATAACTTTTACTATAAAACACCTATAGTATTTTTACCTAACCCTAACCTAATGAACAAAAAATGGATATTTTAGTTACGGCTATAGTAGCCTATGGCTACAAATATATTAATCCTTAAAATTAATAGTCAATATACGAAAGTTTTATTATAATGTTCAATCATCATTGCTTACTCAACGAATCCTTTTAAATTTTGTAAAAAGAATAGTTAGTAGATATTATATAAATCTATAAAGCTAAATATTGTTTTTGCAAAATTTTGAATACTCCCTGAAGAGGGATGTTCTCATAAAAGTATTAGTTTGAATTAATAAGTATTGATGAATTTTCAAATTTAAATTTTGTTATATACATTTTGACAAATAATTAATAAATTATAGCCTATCACAAATTTGACCAACCTGGATCATATTGCCTTTATTTCTAATGTTTATATAAATCAATGCTTGTAAACTATAAGTCCCACCAAAGTAACTTGTAAGTTAAATAATTTACAAAGAATTAATGTTGAATGTAATTTATAATGCTAAAGATGAACATAATGTGAAAATTGAGATGTTCCAATACAACAATGTACCATGTTACAAAAAAAAATATGCCATTACAAAAATATGTTACTACTATGTTTTTCAACACGTCCAAAAATTTTAGTAAACCAATTTTTCCATTCCATCAAAAGACCAACACTAGTTCCAAACACCAAGAAAATAGATATACCCACTGATGCTGTTAATAGTTCTGCTATAGTTAAGAAAACAATATTCGGAATGTGTCCATTTGGAATATATGCACATTGATTTTGACCATCATTTGTTGACAAATGATTCTTAAGGCAGTTTAGCCAATCAATTATCCATGAATCAACATCGGTTGTGGAAGATAAAAGTGGAGATAATTGACTTGTTGCCGTCACTGAAAATATCTAAAGAATAATTCAAATTAATAAAATTAATGAAATATAATAAGTAAAATAAAAAGAAAATAATGAAGAATTACAAGTTACCATAAAGATAATGTAAGTAATCAATAAAACCATCGCTAATAATAAAGAGCGCCATTGAATTTTAATGACATTCAAAACATCTTGACTAGTGACATGATCTAAAGTGCCAGTTGAGTTTGTTACGATCGTTCCTAAGGATGAATCTTCGAAATCACGTGCCAACATCCATTGTGCCTACGTGTAAGTCAAAAAAATTATCGGATTTTTATGTTTGATATCATGAATATTAATGATAAACTTAAGAGATTTATTTACCTTAGCAACATAAATAAATGTTACAATATGAATTAAAAACGCAGGTATAACAAACATGGCCAGTGGGGCCCAGAATAATTCTTTAGAGATATTTTTGGAAACCATACAGACGGCACCAAAATCGAATGAAATATTATTTGTGATGGCTGGTACGAAGGTAAATACTAGTGATATTATCCAAATAAATATTTGTGCATGAACATAATATTTGTGAAGTAAATTTGATTTCCAAACAGTTTGAATGTGTAAATGTATGATTAAAAGGAAACAAAAAAGGATGAGAAGAAACGTTGACAAGATCAGCAGTACTCCTAGTTAAATATATAAAAATGGGTTAAAGAGAGTTATATGAAAGATGTTTTTTTTTTTTTAGAAATATTTAGAATAATATTATATTTACCTTGTACACCGCAAAGAACATTGTTTTTCATGGTTGATTGAGTGAAGTCATCAGCACATTGAATACTTTTATGGTTTCCAATGTAAAAAAAATTGATACCGATGAATGCCAGGAGACAAATATTAAAAATAAGAACGATCATAGCCGGATGCTCTCTTTTATTTGGCAGCACCAAATAACTCAATACGATAATTGCAATACAAACAAATGAAATAACTCTTAAAACGCTTAAAACTGTATATATCATATCTATATGACCCTCTGGATAGAAATTATTTATGTAGGGGCACGGAATGCAACATCCTCCAAAACATGTTTGGCCGGTATAATTATATATAGGTGAAGCTATCAATGGAGCAGGGCAAACATTTATTTGATTCAATCGAGTAAAATTTCTTGATTCTGAAAGAGTTGATATCGGAAATATTTCAAGAATCAAGAATAGAATACTTAAAATGTATTTATATGGATAATTTCTCATATTCGAAAGCATTCTATTTGTTTCCTGGCCGCAAAGTCGTTAAATTAAGCATTCGCAAGCAAAAAGTGCTTTACGAATTCAATGATGCTCAATAGTTTTGAATATCAAGTTAATCATTAGCCTACGATTAAGCTTTATATATATTTTTTTTATTGTACAAATAACTCTATAAGTTTATGATATTAGTTGTAAATGAACTCATTTTGGAAGATTTACGCTCCTTGTTTTAGTGGCATAAGAAGCTAGAAAAAAATTATTTGTTTAACAATGTGACGTTGATTATTACTTTAGAGATTAACGAATTATCGCCATCGTTTCCTTGTCGATTAACTTTTGTCGATTTTATCATGTAGTGTTATCATTTAAGTTATAACCATCATATAATGGACAAGTATGATGTTATTAGTCAATTCAATCTAATTAACTTTATTTTTTTTCAGATCTGCATTTGTGGAATTCGAGATTAATAATTCTGTTAATCATTATCATATTAGTGCTCAAATTGCAACTATCGAATTTCAGGATTTTTAATTAATGTCTAGCCGTATCGATGACGAATACCTGAAGTTGTAACTTCAAGTGTTCAAGTGTCTGAAATTATTAACTAATGCGTGCAAATATATATATATATATATCAAATTTCAGGGGTACGGTACAATTTCAGGTGCTTTAAAGTTGCAACTTAGACAGGCGCCAACTTCAAACACTACAGTATATCGATATAATTAAAAGTTAATTGTTTGCGTTTCTTTTTTTATTCACGGCATTAATTAACTAACACATATATTTATATATTAATCTTGGGTTTGATTGGTCCAATCTGACACATTCCTGGATGTCTAAATCAGTAGTTTAAAATAAAGATAACATTTTTTTAGTGTTAAGCATAATAAATTTGTTAGTGTTATATTCATAGACAATTTGAACTTTTTTATGAATTAACCAATCTTCAAGTACCAAAGTGTTGCCAACTTTCTAATACCATCAACTAGCGTTAGCAAAAAGGATGAACGTTAAAGCCAGGCACCAGTTAGGGTTACTTTTTTGATTCTGTTAGCGGGTTATATAGAAATCAAGAATACAATTTATGCCGTATGTAAATCATTATATGGCTTTTAACGGACCCACCAAAAAGCGATTAACCAATCGGAGAACGCAAATCCCGGATCAGCACGACACATGCACAAAACAGCAAAAAACGGAAACACTAGAAAGCGTTTGAATCTAATCAAAAATGACTGGAACGAAGTTTTACATGCTCTAGATGGTTATTCATTTCTTTAACCTAAACTTTTTTTACATATTTAGTTATTTTTATGTTAAGTTCCTTCTTTGAGTTTGTATCATATACAATTAGTATTTCTTACCCCACACTTCGATCAGATAACCATACTTGGGAGATTTACAAAGGTGTAATTTATTACGTACGTAGTACCGGTACGTATTAACGTTTAATTCTGATAATAGCAATACATATGTAGATCAGTTAAATGATACGTGTCGAATGTATAATCGGTATATGTAAATTTTTTGTAAAGATATTAGCCTTGAATAATTCGTAATTCGGACGAAGTGATTAAATTATTGTTGACCACAGCTTACAGTATCACAGTACTCCAAAGTCTTGATTTTCATTTTACTGGATCCTAATTTGAAGCATTATACGTAGTACGTAATACCGATACATAGTCGTAATTTAAATCATATGATAATCAGGAGGCGCGTGACATTATGCATAATGTATTAAATTCGTTACCCGACGAAGTGAAAATCATATTAATTAAAAAGTAGTGGTAGTAAATCAATATAGTTGTACTCCCAGAAATTTCCGTCTACGTAAGACAATTTCTGCCTAGATTTTTCAACAGCCGAAAATCACCGTCATTTGTAATAACAACATCCGACTAAGTTCCGGTTAGGAAAAACCACTTTCGAAGAAAAATCACATTATATCGCCTGGAATTTTTGTGCACTGACACCCGGGTCTTATTCAAAAAGTAGGCTGGTAAGGATGGATATTAAATTATATCAGCGTCTAGTGATATAAATTGAAAATCGATTAATCGTTAACTGGTTGAGTTGAAACTAATCTGATTAATACTTGATTGATAATTTTTTTCTGAATAATAATAACCCGTGATCTTGATATAGTAATCGGTATTATTGCGGTTTGCAAGTTTTATTGTTCGATTGTTAGGTGATTACTTGAAATTTCTGATTTCTTAAAAGCTACTCCGACATTGCAATATGATATTATCATTAGTGATGCAGACATTTATTAAGGTAGTGACTACCCACAGCATTACGGTTATGACGCGGGAGTTGTACTACCTCAAGGTCATATCGTCGTTGGGTATGCCGTGAATGGAGTAGTATGTCATGGTGACGTAGTATGGCATGAAAGATTCTATCAAAATCGATATTTAATAGATATTGCTGTACTTCATTACATAAGACAATTCTAATAAATTAACAGTACTGCATTCTGATACGGAAAATAAAGATTTGTCAAAGGAAATTGTTCAAGTTGCTGATGCTCACGGTAATCTGGATTTTTCTAGCTGCCAGAAGTTGGCTGAAGAGAACGATTTCGAAGGCACTTACTGGCTCAGATATTGCTTCAAGTTTGGAATAGACATCAAGAAGGATAAGAGAAAGGTATTTGAACTTTACCATAAATCATTCACTATGAATTATCCTCATGTGTTATATCAGGTCAGTTACTGGGGATCAGAGTCGGACAAGATAACGAAAAACTTTTACATATTATCTAAAGTCTTCTGAGATGGAATTGTATAATGAAAATGTGATAAGTGGTAATTATAACATTTTGCCTTGCTATAGATGTATTAAAAAAATGAACCTTTCACACAAACAGCAGATGTGTGTAGATTAGGAGTTATTATGGCAGAAATATCAACTGGTAAAAGACTTTCTGATGGCCATGAATTTGACGTCAAACTTACTGTAAAGGATTAAGGCCAGAGTTGCTCCTAGACTTCCGGATACTTATATTGAACTGGCTAATCAATGCATGGATGCTGATCCAAAAAAGCGACTAGAGGCTTGGAAAAGACCAGGAATTCTAAAAATAGATTTCTATCCACAGCGAAGTTGTGGGTTTTTAATCGATTCGATGATGATAACACGTAATTAATTGATTAAAACCCCACAACTTCGCCATGGATAGAAATCTATTTTTAGAATTCCTGGTTTTCTCTTGGCGTCACCTAATATAACACTAAAATATCTGGATCGCATATGCACCAATAAAATCATTTATATAAAAGAGATCTTACTAGGTGATTCTATTAATTTATTTCATTGATTAAATTTAATTTATTTCATTGATTAAGTTTAATTTATTTCATTGATTAAATTTAATTTATTTCATTGATTAAATTTAATTGATTTATGCTTATAATTTTAAGTAAATCCATCTATTTTATTGAGATTTTAGATTATTAGTGATTTCGTTTTATCGTTATTTTTTCTAAATTAGTATTTTTTAATAAAACTTTTAAGATTATTTCTTATATACGTATAAAAATTACAACTAAGATTTTTTGTGGTTGCTTTTAATTTTATATATAAGTTTGATATATCGATACACAAATGATGCAACACGTGATAATTTTTATGATAAAACAGAACTATTGAAATTTTCACTCTATAATAAAAATTTTTTAAAAAAATTTTTTTATATCAGAATAAATTTCATCAATCATAGTTTCTAAAAAATATTTTTTCAGATTTTTTTAAAAAAATTTTATGCCAAAGTTGTTTTAAGGTCGAAATTTTAGTAAAAATTTTTTATAAGTATTATATTTTTTTTTTACTATGGTTTTGACCTTAGAACAACTTTGGCATAAAAATTTTTGAAAAATCTATAAAAATATTTTTTGGAAACTATAATTGATGAAATTTATCTTGATATAAAAAAATTAATTTTAAAAATTTTTTCTAAAAAATTTTTATTATAGAGTGAAAATTTCAATAGTTACTATGATTTATAAAAATTATCGCGTTTGCATTATTTATGGTTGCCAGTGTATACACGGATTTTTTATAAGATTTTTATTTGTGAAATAAAAATATTCATAATAAATGCATGGAAAATGTTAAAACTATTGCTATAGTTAACGGATCATACTAATTACTTAATCTGGATTGTAAATATTGTAAATCAACGGATTACATCACTACATACAGTGGATTTTTATGAAAGTAGAAATAATATCTGTAATTGATTTTTTATCCAGAATCAAAAGCTGAATCATAAATAGAGTTGAATATGAAACTTGTGAATTGTTATTATTTGTTAAAAATATAATAGAATTGTATAACCAATTCGTAAGTATTTATGTACAATATCGTTAAAAAAAAGTTTGGCCCAACAGGAAAGTAATGTCATGGTTCGTTGAGAGAGCAGTTTAGTTCTCGCCATAAATTTTGTAGTGAAATCTCTCTTAGAATGCTATATAACGCAAACTGTGAAAAAACTTCGCTAAGTTTATAAATTCTCGTATACACAAAATATTGGCAGGTACATATAAAAAATTAGGTAAAAAAGGTATTTATTCTATTAATAATCTCAAACTTGTTAATACAAAATACATACGATACAATATATAAGCAGAGTTATTACAATCAACAGATCAAAAACATTGCAAGGATTAAGTATTAAACCCGGATCTTCCTCGATTATAAGCTTACCATTTTCAATTAAATAATTAATAATAAAAGTTTATTAATTCTAACGTAATAATGCGGTCTTGAATAAAACGCTCCTAATTACCTCTAAATAAATTTGGTTAGAAGTTTTTGATTCTTTTATATAGTAATCGCTAGCACTTTATTGAGGTTATAACAGATATTTGCAAATGATTTTTGATTAGTAAAACATATTGTGTCCTTAAAAGTAACTCAAAATATATGAAATTAACCGAATTTTTTAAAGCAAACCAATAGGGTATATGTATAGCTTCATACAATCCGCT